ATGTATTTATGCTGATTTATACATGATGCCATTTAAACAAATTGAATTTCTCGGATCTCCTTTGCCGTTAGCTGTAAGCAAAAGAAAATTCGAATGACATACATATTCATATTCATCAGAAAATTAACATATTTCGGAAATAAGTACTAATAGAACTATTACTCTAATATTAATATTATATCACCTCCTATTAGTGAAAAACTAATAAACCACCTAATTCAATATTATAAAAAAACAGACTTTTCTTACGTATTAAATGAGTAGTACATCCAAACTGGAGGAACCAGTGTTGAATCTTGACAGCAGTTTTGGAAAACATGGTACCCTCGGTTTGTTGCAGATTCCACAAAAAATGGGCGATTCTTCTCCCCCACCTGATTATTCTTGGATAGACCAAAATCGGGATGAAGCTGATCCTCCCCTCCTCCCAGTCTGTGACGTCGGAGAAATGGACATGGTTAACGGAGAAAGTCGTGTGGTCAAGTGCAATAAATATTTAGTGGGGAAAAGTCAGAGATAAATTACTCACCTGTTATCTTGGATTTTGGTTAAATGCTTAATTTTTAGTTAATTGACTTTAGTTGTTCGTGACTACATAGTCGTGCCTTATTTTGGCGGTCACTATTTAATTTGCAGAGAGGACGATTGTATTATTGTATGAATTAATTATTTGGAACAGAGGCTAGTACATACATACGGTTTTAAGGTTTTCATTCATATATAGTTTTGTAAGAAAATGTGTATTTGTATCATGTAGAGACATGAGTGAGTTTGTAGATATGCAGTATTTCAAGCCCGTTTTACAATTAACTTGGTTTGACTACCGTTATTATCTTTTATAATTGTAGTCAAAGCTTAAATGGCACAAGTAATAACGTTGTCATCTAGAGACCATAAAGGTGAAAATTTCTCCGTGGATGGAGTACATGCGTGAAATCACATCTTATGATAATCAATAGTGATTTTCGGGCGTCAATACGATGGACATGAGAGCCTTATTTTTTGTGCATTTAAAATCGATTTAAAGTTTAAAAACGACTCGCAAATTCACTTTTACCATGCAATGCTAGTGCGAAACCATTATTTTAATATGTAAAAATCTATAACGCGTCAATTAAAACAAACTCGAGCGAGATCGGATAAGAAATAAAATGAAAAGCTTTTCCTGGTGGCATCTGGAACCAGTTACTTGTACTGGTTATTCATACTTATCATAAGTCCACGGTTTCCATTAGCAACCAGCACAATAGAAACATGTAAGACCTGCACTTACGCATGTATGTACGCAATATTACTTTATCATTCTTTGCAATTGATAAGGTATCAAATAATCATGGTATGCACGTATGTTGTGTACTCTTAGAAATCCAGTGACTTTATCAGATTTCTATGTAACAGTGTGTATATGCCTGTGATGTTGACGCATTTCTTAATTGTTATATAATCTACGAGGGAAATTAATTTGGTGTATATGTAGTCGCACATTTTAAAGCATGCTAGAAATTACTTAAATGCAGTCGATGAACTTTTGAGAATGATTAGGCATTTAAACATATCAGATTACCTAAGTTTTGCATCGCAGAGAAACCTTTCAAGCGATTGTATAGCACAGTGTCATATGTACGTTGTTTTTGTGATTCTATTTTCATGTTTTTATCTTACGCTTTATATTATACTTTGAATTACTTTGCCCTTTTATGTTCTAAGTCAACCATGTGTTTAATTTGTTTGGTTTTGCTTTTAGTTTTCCATGATGATTTAGGAAGCGTCACAACAATTACCACTACAACCACCATTATTACCCCTCTTTGCATACAAACACAGCCCAATTGTAGTAGTAAAAGCATTGTTCATGCAACAATTCCTATTTCAAATCAAGGTCATTGTCAAATTGATTGACCACTGTGAATATTAAATCTAACAATTTAAACGAAGCTTTTATTAGATGTATCATCCTGTAGCCTTTAAGTTTTTCATACATTTCGCTAAGAAGCATCCGTTTTGCTAATTGACGAGAAGAATTGAATTTTAAAAATTGTGTCATGTACAACATCCATAATTTATTCCCGTTGTGATAAGTTATTCGTTTGTTTTGTTTGTATTTGCGTTATAAACATGCAAAGAATAATAAAAACAAAGTAGCAGGAAATATTTATGTACAACTATAGGGCGACATGGACTTCATGAAAACTGACAAGGCGATGACGCCAGCGGTCTCGCTCCGATTTTGACGAAACCACGATAATTATGTAGCCCTAGATAAATAATTAAACACATGTTTTAGGATTTTTCATAATGCTCAATTTAAACGAAGTTGTATATATGATGGAAAACGTGAGCGAGAATTTGCGTTTTCACCGTGAAATTTTTCTCATAAGGGAGAAAAATACAAATTCTCGCGTAGTTTAATTTTGTTAAACTATTTTTAAATTTTAGTCAACTTTTTTATTTTACCACTAATTGTATTATAACAATTTGTAAGTTGATCCTGTTATTTCATTAGAGACATTAAGTACGTAACCCCCGTCGGGCTAATTTAGTCAGCGTTGAAATAGTTTTGTGAAACTCATTTTGGTGCAATTCGGACATCACATCGTTTCGTTTATACCAAAAATAACATGAGCCAGAGAGGTGTGTATTTATTTTGTAAAGATGTGCGATCATTAATTGGGGCAAAATTAATGATCGCAAGATATATTTATACGTAATTGTGGCACAGTAAATATGAAGCGAAATAAAAACCTGTGATCAATTTAAAATTGTTCGGTTTCATCCATTTAACATTTTCTGACGTTATATATTTATATATTTCTATTGGACTTATTTTTTCATCGAAAATTCAGAATATATGTAATTGCCAATCAAAAATACCATTAAGATCGCTATTATTTTCATGCAATGCTCACAAATATTTTATATGGATTTATTTTAGTAAGCATAAACGAGAGACTTTTTGTCAGTATATGCAGGAAGACTTAATATTCCGCTTTAGCTTCTTATGTAAGTATGGGACCATTATTTAAAAAAACAATAAAATCTAATTTGGGAGTAAATTATTTCTTGGTCGTGATGCCTCTTTGTAGCCACATCCGACATTGCATTTAGTCGGTTGGAGATTCCTACCTACCTCGGAGCAGTTGCTGCTGAGACAAATCGACGACGGTAGCTGCAGAATGTTGATTATAGTTTAAAGGATGTTCAATTTCGAATATCATTGAACTTTTTCGGCTTCAATTGTGGAGTCAATCCCCTACTTTTAAAGCCATTTACGAGGGGAAGACTTCGTCATGCAGGATGAAAATTGACGGTTGCGAAGAAATGCAATTAATAACACCGTTTTCGTGTATATAAATTATCCGTGACGGGTAGTCTGTGTTCGCATTTCGCGTTTCGGTAAATACCTACTTACAATACATAAATAAATAAATATAACAAAATTTATGCATTCAAAAATAAGTAAATAGTGGTAAACAATGAGATAAACATTCGTTTATTGCATACCCAAAACCAAATTACATGAAGGATTGTGTCGCTAATTACTGTTTATAATAGTACACAATCATTTAATAGTCCCTAAAATACCAGGGCGCATAAACTTTTTTGTTGTCCGTGGTTTCTCTTAAGGGGGTGATGCAGGGATGAGCATTTTTTCAAAAAAATTAAAAAATTAAAAGTTCGGGAATTGCATGCAATTTCCCCATGAATTTGGTTGTCAACCGAATTTTACAAATGATAATATTCTGCACCACGGGCTTCACCCGACCCATATGGCCCCCACTGGTTATCTACTTGACGGATCTTATCAATCGTCGAACTTTATTCCTCATCTTCAGAGATGAAGACCAAGATAAGATTTATTTATTTCATTTCTAATATGTGGTTGACAACCAAATTCATGTGAAAATTGCATGCAATTCCCGAACTTTTAATTTTTTAATTTTTATGAAAAAATGCTCATCCCTGCATCACCCCATTAAGAGAAACCACGGACAACAAAAAGTTTATGCGCCCTGCTAAAATACATACAGGGAAATATAAATAAACAATCAAACCTCAAATGACTTTTCATTTCCTGAGCATTCTGTTTTCCTTTCTGTTTGAATCAAAAGTGATTGTGAAAGTCTAATGATCTTACGAACCATCATCTTTTTATGATTGTTCCAAATCTAAGCATTTTCCGTCAATTCCGAATCCCAAGATCATCACATGAACTAAAGTATCAACAACTTCCTTATTCTTCCCTAGCGAGTCGTTCAATTTAAAGTCCACCCAGTTTTCAATTATTCTCAGAAGAACCAAGTTCGTTTCATTTAAACAGCGTGTCTAATGAATCTTTGTATTAACAAACTGCATGAAAAACGTGAAAAGCATGGGGAAAAATTGGCACGGGTGGAGGAAACATGAAATTTGTTGTTTTAGCGAGGATCAGCTTGAACAAATACGCTGCGCTGAAAATTAATTAAAAAATTATCGCATAATAATTACAGTAATAGAAATATTTTGTAAACGACCCTTCGTTGTCATCTTAGAATATTTTGTAGCTATTGCTGAGCGAGTGCATATGTATGTATGTACATATACTCTAGATTACATGCTGCTGAATACGCCACCACGCCAACACGGACTACAATGCATAATACGAACAACAGTACTCTTTTGAAATCCTCGGCAATAAGGTAGGTGCATTGTGTTGGTATTGTTGATGGTCGATTGTGGAAAGGTGTTCAGTCAGACTGAATGTTGCCTCGTTATTACAAAGGGACGATGGATGGATGCAGGGTGGATTTCCTCGTCAACCAATAAAAAACGGATGCCCCAGGGGAAACCACATCAGTTAATGGGGACGATATATGCATATCTAATACATAACATCGTATTGTTGCTTCGATATAGCGTAATAAGAGTTTTTGCTCCTTGGTCGTACGTAGTAAATTGCATTGCACACACATCCCTGCATCGCGTGTATGTTACCTTTTTCAGACAAACTTAGTTTTGGGCGATCTGGGCATCAAGCAAGTCATCATTATGTAGTGCGTCCGTTTGGTGGTTGGTTTCATCGTGCTAAATAAATAAACAAGTTATTCGTTCTATTTATTTGCGCAAAACAGCAGCCCCCTTCATTCATTTGAGATTGTGAAAGTTGACTCAATATTTTGGCGTAGTGAATAAAAATGATGATCGCTTAATAATCCATGTTTCCACGATGTGCAACAAGTCGACATTAGTGTGAGGAGAAGTGAGAATTGGTTAAGTGAGTGTAAGTGTAACCTTGCGAATGAATGGAGTGAATATTGATTGATTTATCACAAAAAGGCCTAAAGGATCAGTTAAAAAAATTGGATTTGGATTCGATTAAGGATGGAGGAGACAGAATCCTCCCCAAATCAACAGGTAGTGTGTATGTACATATATATGTACAGAGCTTATTAGTACAGTTTTTCATCGCCCAGTAAAATTAAACGAATCTAACTGCTGTTACTGTATGTGATGAGTTCTATGATTGATGGGGTAGATTTAACACATCTTGATTAAATAATTGGGAGAATAAATTATAAGAAGTATAATTCATGCGTTTTGTGATTAAGCATCTATATTTTAAATGAATGTTAAACGTGATTACATTTCGTTCTCAAATTTATTTAATTATTGGTTGCTCTACAGAAAATAATTTGTCAGATGAAATATCCCACAAATTAAACTGCAGCTAGTCGGCTAAACTAGTGAATTTAGTCAAATAATAAATTCCAGGGCTCACTTCCTGTAGTATTTGTAAAATAATTAAAAATACGCATGTAGGTGTTCAGCGGTTAGTGATTGTGGGAAAATGTGTAATTGCATAAAGGATTTAACAACTTTGTTAATAAAAGCTGATTAATTCAAGGTTCGACCACCTCTTCTAACCTATTCTCTAATTGGCGATGAAGAAGCTGTGATTCGGATTCTTTCTCAAGGGATCAACGTAGACCAGGAAGATTTTGTAAGTGTAATCCATTTCTTCGTATAGTAGTAGCTTTGGTGAAATTTAAATAAATTATACGTTATATGTACATGCCATCCACTGATGTTCACAATTGTTTTGCTGAGCTATTTTGCATATGTTTCCCAAATAACAATTAAAATAAGTTTTCGCATGACACTTTGAGAAGCCGAGAGAAAGCGAAGGCAGTGACAGATTTGTAAGATTTGCCTGATTTCTAGCTATTTGTACATACGTATCTAGAATTTACTCGTATACATATGTATGTATACGTAAATATGTATGTACATGTATTGCTTGTGGAAGTATTTAAATCATAGCGTGTGAATAATAAGACAACCTTATCGTATTACACAAGAACATGGATTTTCATATTGTGGCAAAATGAAATCTGATTTGTCTGTTAGCTCTGATTATTTATTAAATTAATACGATATAAAACCAAGTTGTAGTTGTCTGTGTGTTTGTTTTGCTCACAACAAGTACGGAAGTAGAATAAGTGCGTGACGGAATTTTGTTAACAAAGAACTGCGGAAACTTGGTTGAACTTTAAGGTTTCTTCGTTAGAATATATATGCACATGTGCATGCAAAACAGTTATAACAATGCATGGGAAAATAGCAAAGTCTGTTGTTTCTTGTGCATATACACAAAAACCTGGGAATTGTAGAATTGTGTAGAAATGCTATCTACAACCCGCTTGTGTGTGCGAATAGAATTTTCAGAGTGCTAAAAAACAACAATAATAATTGAAAGTTAGTGGTGTTAATCCTTCATTAACTACAAATTAACACCCGAAACCACCCCTAAAGCATATTTGTAAATTAATTTAGGAGCTCACGTTAAAGATTGCAGGCGTCGTTTGACATGCAAACTGACAGAAGTTGAAACAGCAAATAGTAATACAAGAAGAAGGAGGAATGTTTTCATGCCATTTGCAATTGCTTCATTAATATTTTATGAACATTTCTTCTCCTGTTTGCAGGCTGGCGGATGCACTGCTCTCCACCTAGCATCTGCTTCAGGCCATATCAATATCGTCAAAATTTTGCTACAACATGGAGCTAAACCAGAAAAACAGGATTCGTCTGTAAGTTATAAGTTACATTTGGATTAAGGCACACAAACAATAAATGCCAGACTTCTGAATTGGGATCAATTTCAATTCTGATAATATGCAAAGATACGTCTGGCGTAGTAATACGTTGGCTAAACGAAGCCATATAATTTTAATTTGACTTTTCTTCTTGGTAGTCTCTTCACTCTGATACAAAAGATGAGATTGAGATAACAAGCAAGTAGTCTGCACATAGATTATTAATAGTTTTCATCACTCGTATATATTTTCAAAATTGAGCGATACGAACTAGTGATCTATATTATGTAGCTTATTAAGATGCTACCCTGCATAAATATGTGTCATCTTTGACCCCCGCCCAAGTAGCTACATATAATAAATATGTGATAGGGAGTCTAGAATTTAGCATATTATTCTATCATATTATTTCACATCTATATACATATATATTTATACATATGTATGTATGTGTACACTCAAAATAAGGTAGTAATGAATCATTACCATGCGGAATGACTATGTGGCTCGACCACGTCGGTTACGATTCATCGTAGAGATGGTAATAATAAGTTCAGGGAAATTCAAATTTAATACATAATGGTATTCACTTCCTTAATATTTGGTAATGCATTTGAATTTCCCTGAAATTATTATTACCATTTGTACGACAAATCGTAACCGACGAGGTAGAGCCACATAGTCATTCCGCGTGGTAATGATTCATTACTACCTTATTTTGAGTGTACATATATAGGTATATGTCCTTAAATTGTAGTTGCATAACTGGAGTTCTTAAAGTATTGTTGAAGAGTTTTTGGTGTTGCTGTCAATTTTATCCAATTGACAAATTATTTCGACTCGAAAATAAATATTCCTTGCGATTTTTACCAGTCCCAAACTGGTATCTGTTGTAATTGTCCAAGCTGTTTCTTTTCGGGCTGATTGATTTGTCCGACAATTTTATGGGGACCAAGATTAAAACCTTATCAGCTATCTGGCATTTATTTCTTTTTAATGGCAAAAGTAGCTACAAACTAAAGGGTGGCCCAAATGTATCTCCCGGGCCATTTTTCTGCAAAAGTTTAAGATAAAATCGGCTGTAATTCTTGAACCAGCCAATGTTCCATTTTGAAAATTTTACCATAAGTAGTCCAATATGGAAGGTCGATCGGGACTATCATAGAATTCAGACAAAAATTTTGGTTGCGTAGCAATAAAAAATTAATCAAAATTTGGAGAAATTGTGATATGGCGGGAAAATGGTACTACTACGCAGCAGCAGAAATTTTGTCAAATACAAAAAGCGGCCTGACCAACGTGGAAAGATGTCACCTACCCGAAAAAGAACAATTAAGCTCAAGATTTACCCGAAAACCGAAGTTCGGTACTTAGTTGTTCAAAAGAACGAAGTGACTCAAAATGCTTGAAGATTATTAACAAGTAAATTTACGATGGTACAATGTAGTAGGTTGCAAAATCAACGAATTCTAGTCAGACAACTTATAAGCTAACCAGGAAAACATTACTATCTCGAAAGAACATTAATTACAGTCTTAAATTTGGAGAAATATTTCAAAAAAGTGGCGATTTTAGTGAAAAAATGCAAGGTCAAGAACCATGGTGTCATTTCCTCTGGACAATTGAATCCCGAATTAAGCTGCATGTAAAACTCGACCTACAAAATATGAGATACAAAACCGCAAAAAAATCGGATGTACCACCCATACGTGTGTTATAATTGGTATCGAAAGTTATGGTTGCGGGTGTTTTTATGCGCGTGGCTTAAAAACCTTTCATAGTATACAAGTATGGCACATATCAAGGTAAAGAATTTTATAGTGAAAATGCAACCTAAACACTTAGATAGCATGAGAAACAAGGAATTTTTTCCAAATGTTAGTCCGTACTTTTCCTGCAGGATGGTGCTGCAAGTCACGCTTCAAAAACGACCATGGCGCAAAATGAAGGATAGAGTAAAACGGTTTGGGGCAAGGGGGTGTAGTCTGCTAAAAATCCGGATGTGGGTGTTTTGGATAGCCAATGGGCAATACTTAAGTAAGATATGTACATGGATCCAGAACCATGCTTGACAGCAGAGATAACAACGAAAGTTCAAGAAAAGTGTAATTTTATACCAAAAATGACTTTGGAAAAATCATCATAGAGTTTCAACAAAAGCGATGACAACATTGTTAGGGTGAATTGTTGAGAGACCAAATACTGGGGTATGTGCGGAAAAAAACTTGGGTTCGCCAAGTCACATGGTTTTGAAAAATAGGGTCTTATTCTTTTGAAAGAAAAAGTCGGGAGATACATTTGGGCCACCCTTTATCTCAAGTAATCAGATGCAAATATTTGCTGAGAGTGGGAAGGATAGACTGCATACGTGTTTCAAGTCATATAAATTCACCATCTAACGACAACATAAAATGAAGAAATTTTTATTTTACCGAGTGGTTTCGACTCTGCAGGGCAGGCATTAAATACGATGTTGTTTTTCTATAAAATACACTTAAAAGCAAGAATTCTTGTGATTGAACAATTTGATAAAACTTGATTGTGTTGGATTGGACCGGTCATTCGGGTGCTGTTTCTTGAGAATAAAATAAGATAAAAGTAATTTATTAACTAGACAAATTGCTAAGAGAATTTAGTCATTAATGCTCAGAACATTATATTCCGTCCGTCCAAACAATCGAAGCATAGATAAATGTCAAACTATTCTGCAACTGTTGATTGTCTATGTTTTCATTGTAAGCTTATACTCTTAACAAGGTTGTAAACCAATTCCCGTACAAAAATCAACCATCCAGCATTACATAATTCCGTATTCAATAAGTCTGATCCAACTTTTATAACATTAGTATTATTACTTGCCGCACCCTTTGGATACAAGATCTAATTGTGTTTGATTCATTCAGGTGAATGCTCTGGAATTTTATAAATTTTACATGCATATCGCAGAATTACATATGTACGTGTATACTTCTACACAATTTAATATACTAATCGGAACATCTTTGTGGATCACTTTGAATCAAATGTGTACAAGTTTTAGGGACGGGTACAGCAATTACTTTTGAACACTTGCTAACTACCCCCCAAAGTAATTTGATCCTGTCAAATAATTGACCACCACATCCAGCCTAGAATTATCACGTATGCATTCTCCTCCTTCAGTCTTCATCGTCATAATTTCTCGCACGATATCAATCAACAGCCTGGTTACGCCAAGTCATGTCAAAAACTCTTGTTGAATTTTAATTCACCAACACAGCTTCAGTTAGTGTAGTTATTTATTTGCATGAGTTTGAGATTGAACCAGATTTATTTTTTATTGCATTGCTGTACCTTTATCATCTTCTTGATCGACACAATCGTGTGTACATATGTACAGATTACATGCGTACTACCAAAACTACGTATCTGTAGTGAGAAATATAATTACTTATTTTGTCATGTAATAATTTGTTTTTCGTTTGATTTCAGCATGGAAATACTGGTATAAATAAAAACCAAGCCAAAAGTGCAAGAGGCTATTTTCCATTTTGTGCAAAGATATAGGTTATCTACTCTTAAGTTGGACTGAGATCCACGACCTGTGGAATTCGACCTGCTCAGAAGTTTTTTATAAAACCTTTTAAGTAGTGTAGGTAGGAACCATGTCTACTAGTTTTTGCTGCGGAGGACTTATTTTTCTTCATTCTTCGCCACCAAACCTACTTTCCGCACCAAAACTCAAATTTGCAGTTTTCCACTAGATTCCGAAATGTCCTTGTTGATTTTTTGCTATTAACGTTCGAATCCTATCACGTTATTCGCCTTGGAGCGAAGGTTGGAGTGCGTTCTTTTGCAAAAGACTCAAATTTTTTCAATTTCTCGCAAAAAGAGACATTTAGAGGGTTTTCAGTTTTAAGGCCACCTGACTCAATGTAAGCCTTGCTTGGAATTTTACAGGGAATTAAGATCTCATATACAACTTCTCTACCCTCACTGGGTTGCCTGAGTGAAAAAATGTGATTTTCGAAGTCTTTGAAGCTTCCAGATCGACGTGGGTATCTTCATCATTGATGAAAATTTTTCATGACATTTGTCGACTCGTTTTTTTGCAACTTTTTTGCACCCTGGTTTTTCGGCCCTGACCATTTTTTCAGAGACTTGGTTTGATTTTTTCTGTATTCCCCAGTTTATGTACTTCAATGCTGCACGACACACATTTTGAGATTTTCAGTTCCTGAGCATCCGGAGGACTTGATCCGGAAGGATTCGTGGTAAAGAGTTTTTTATGGCTTCCACTTTTTGATGGGTGGCTATGACGAGTGGTGGCCTCGAGTGTTTTTTTTAATTTCACTTTTTGTCATCCTAATACATCGAAATATAAAGGTCGATTGTCGTTTTGTGACGTGTTTCCGTTTTCAAGCACTGTGACGTCTTGTTCGGGTTAAGACAAGCGGCGATTTTGTGGTTGTGAAAAACTCGATTCGCCAGGTTTTCACTTTCACAGCGATTGCTACTAAACTTCGCAATTTTAACAAAAAATGCTTTACACCAGCTCGTAGCCCATGCAATTATGTCCCGAAAAATTAAATTCATAAATGACAATCTCCACTACCTGCGCCGAATAGCGTAAGCTCCCTCGGTCTAACTTAAGAGTAGATGTAGAGAAAAAAAACTTAGATTTTGGTGGGTATCCAACACCATCGCGCATCTGGGTCTCTCTCTCAGTCCCATTTAATTAACTATGCATGATTAGTTATTTTACTTTACGCATGAAATGCACAAAATATCGGTATGAAACAATATACACAAATTTTCATGTAAAAATCACTTTTGAAAAAGTTGTGACGATTTTAGGGACACATGTCTAGGAGTTTTCTCAATGCGGTGAATTTTTATCTCGTTTGACTTTTACAGCTTCCACACTCTCCAAATCTGGTGAAGACATTGTTTCGCTATGGTTCTAATGTCTGTCTTAAACAGTCGTCCAAAATGTCCAAAATGCACAAAAGTATCCAAAATAGAAAACTCCTAGACAGGCGTCCATAAAATGGTCACAACTTTTTCAAAAGTGATTTTGACACGGAAATTTTCGCATATTGTTTCAAACCGATATAGTGTGCATTGTATGCACATAGTGAGATGTTGAGATCTCCACCCATCTAAATAGTATACCTAGTTAGTCAATCCGCTCCTCAGAAAGTTTGACCCCAAAAAACTCGTGATTCCAAGCATTTCCCTTTGGGACAACAGAAAATGTAGCTCTTCCCAAGGAGAAAATTCTGGCATCAGGTCGTCAAGTGAAATGCTTGGAATCATTACTTTTTTAACGATTTATGTGTAGGCAAAGAACGATGCCAATTTTCGAATTTTGAAACTCTTGGTGCATTAAAATGTTCGTATTTACAGGGGAATTGAAACGTCACTTGCAATTTGGGGTCTAATTCTTTTTTGTACCTAGTACGTTTACTTTCTCATTTTTCACTATTCCTCTTTCCCAAATTTTTGTAGGAGGGGTGGGTTGCACATAATTCAAAAATAGCTGTGCTATATTGATCCTTCCTTCCAAAGTTAAATTTCCGATTTTTATGTGAAATTGGGTGAAATCGATGCGAAATGCGCTTGCACTTTTGGTAATTGTGTACCTCCTGCGTTGCATGAATCCTCCTGGCGGGGCTACTCCCAACTCGTCAAACTCCTGAGCTCTCCTGCTACCGTGGATAAGCAAAATCATGGAGGCTTCACTGCTCTGCATTTGTCGTGTCAAGGTATTTTTCTATCTTGCTATCAATACATAATTGTAGAGTAGTCATAATCTTATACAAGTAATTCGTGGGTACTCTTTATCCACGCTTATCGACATGAAGCTTTGCTATGCTCACTTTAGTGGGTGCGTACTTTCCCCCAGAAGTATATCGAGTGATGGCGAAGCGAGGAGAAATTTGATTTTGTGAGACATCACTTTATAATTAAAATGTTATGTTTTCTAGCTGGTCATAATCAATCCACGAGGGAGTTACTACTGGCCGGTTCCAGTCCTAACGTCGTTAATACGTTTGGCGATTCTTGCCTCCACACGGGGGTCAGGTAATTATGTCAATAACTATGTCACGTTGGCTAATATTGGCAAGATAGGGGGTTTTCCCAGGAAGTTGGTCAGTTTGGCGAAAACACTTTTGGCGAAAAAATGTCGCTATAAAAAACTCCATTGGGCGAAAAGCAAATTTCATGCATTTCACAGTACTTTAGCCTTAATGCTTTTAAAGTACCTTTTGGCAAAAATAATGTCGCGTTGTATGAAAATGTTAACTCATGAAAATTCAATGCAGATACTACCATAAGAATCTTTATATTCTGGTATCTTGAGATACTCTCATATCTCAATATATTTGAATGTTATCGTAACATGCTAACATTCTTTGCTCAACAACTCTGAAATATTATTTACTATCAATCATCTTCCCCAGTCATTTTACCTTACAATATAAAAATTAATTGTAATTTTAAGTGATTTGACATAAATAAATGAGAAGCTTAACGCCAAATGTAATTTTACGAATTTTTCGCCAAATGTAACAATAATTTCGCCATTTGGTACATTCATGACTATTTTTTACCACATTAAAAAAAAATAAATTTTCGCCAAACTAGCTTTCGCCAAACGACCGTCAATCATTCCCCTATCCCGCCGATGTTAGCTAGCGTAATAATTTATAATTAATATTAATATATATATAATTAATAAATCTTCCCTCAGATATGGCCACGCGGGGGTGGCAAGGATCCTCCTATCTGCTCGAGCAGCCCCTAATTTACAGAACAAGGTATGCATTCCAAATTGTACGCTTTACTAAATGGAAATCATGTATTACTATGTCAGCAGTAAGCAGAATGACATAAATTTCGTTATCTTATGTGTCAAAAAAGGCGTCATGTTTTAAGAACAGTGTGTGTACATTGGAAACTTGTTAAAGTTTGACTGTCTGTCACATACACACAATGCTCCTTTTGTGAATGAAGACATGAAGAGCATCTCGTGAAAATTAGATCATATCAAATCAGATTGCATTAAGCTTTACATGTTAGCTCCAAAAATGGAGGATGACCAGTTGACGGTGTGCAATGACCTGATATCTGAATTCAGTATAAAGCTTGTAACAGAGTGACCCAGCAGGGGGTGTAAATATTTTCGATGTGAGAGCAAAGTAAACTTGGAAGAAGAGAAGCTAAACATAAACGTCACTTATTGAATATTACAAAGCAAATAAGTACATGAATTTAGTTAAATGTGCAATAAAGTTTTAACTTGATCTGGCTGAGACTTTAAAAAGCTGGTTCTAGGTTATAGGGGTCGTAATTCTTATGTTCTGGTTCAATAAAATTCTAGACTTTGCCTCCTTTAAGAATAAACCATACTGCTCATCATAGATTTATGACAGGAGTGAAAATTAAAGAGAATTTAGTTCTTATGATAAATGCTCAAATTTACTTACGGCAAAAGCACCTCTTGATAAGTTAATAGCATCAATATCAACTCCAGTATAAATTACCTATGTATATGTGTGATTGACTATGCTTTTCTCTTTTTAGAACGGAGACACAATTTTACACATCGCGTGTGCACAAAATCGAAAAAAATTGACCAAACTTTTGCTGGCGTCGGGATGTCGAACAAATTTGAGAAATAATCAAAATGAAACAGCGCTTGACATCAGCAATCGGAAAGGATTTACCGAAATATCCGAACTACTCAAACACCCACCACCCATCGTCTCTCCCATCGAACGTGACGAAATTAGAGCCTCAAAGTACAAATCTGCGAGTAGCGGACCTTCCTCAACGGGAAATATTTCCAGAGGGAAAAAGTCCAGTAATAATAACAAGGTCAAGTCAGATCATTCAGACAAGAAAAGTGGGGGTGGTGGAAGCAGTGGGCATAAACACCCGGAAAAGTCAAAGGAAGGAGGTTCCAGGAAAAGTCATCCTAAGTCAAATAGCAATCAAGATCCCGATGATATAACGCCAAACTGGTCACCGTACGGATGTCATTATCATCCGAATCCAGAAGCATTTCCTCCCCCAAAAATTGACTCGTTGCCGAATGAACCTTTAAGAAGTGGGGAACTTTACTATCTGGACTTGGCTGGAAATATCCATAAGGTATGTACTTTAGCATATGCAAATATGCATAATTAACGTGAACAGGATATATATTTATGAGTGATTGGTTTTTAGGGGCCCGTTGGCGTTTCAGAAGGGTGCTATTGTTCTCAGTTCTTTCAACCGGTCTGCACAGCCAAAGATAATCCTGCCCAATGTGCGAAAAATTATGAAGACCAACTTCACGCTTTGACCAGCCAATTGGCCAAAATTCACTTGGACACGCAAGCCCAACTCTCTTCCCTGCAGGCCATGCTGAATGAGAAACTTGTCGCAAAAACGAGTCAAAATCCAATCAATTATGACCAAAACAAACTGAAGGATTGGGTTCGACAGTATAGACGATTTCGGAAAGGTATATGAATTGAATATGATAAACTGAGAGATTCCAAAATTTAATGATCCAATAGCAATTCACATTATTACATAAGTATGCAGATATGTATAAAATATTTGTCAATTTAAAGTATGTTTTTACATATTTCAGAGCTATCAAAAAACCCAAAAGCCTTGATGCAGGCTAATGAGCTGTTGGAAAATGCATCTGCCCTCATGGTGCCTACGTCCTCGCCCCCATCCCCAGCAGCAGACGAAGAGTCTGACAGTGATAGCGGATTATGACTAAAAACTCATTCCGGCCTTATGATTTAAAGACACCAAAATTCACCTTTCTGTGTTCCATGATTTTTAGCTTTATCATTTAGACTTTTGTGCTGACATTGATTGACTCTAAGTAACTCATCATCAGCAAAGAACTCTGAATACTAAAAATATATATATGGCATTATTTTAAATAGTTGCTACATATGAATAATTTTTTACTCAACTAAAAATGTGTATTTCCACCTCCAAGAGGGTAAAAGTTTCACAAATTATTTGTAATAAATATATCTACTTGTTAGAGATACATACATGAACGAAAAATTGTTGAATTTAATGAGTAAATACTTATTTGCGTACTTCGTTACCTCAAACTTAAGTATGTGCATATCTTTGTCTTCTTGATATTGGCACATGGATTATAAGTCGACAATCATTTCCTGGTCAAGGAGAAGAAAAGCATGGAAATAACCTGTGGTGACCCTACTAAATAGTGTAAAATAGCACTCCGAATGCGTTTATTTCTTATTTTATAACATACCATAAAAATAAAATTCGTTTCATAAAAATTAAACCGACGCATGCCCCGAGACCCCAACGAAGGGGAAAACATGTGAGAAACCGTGCCTAGCAGATGGCACTGTTAGAAGACAAGGGGCTGAAATCTTGAAGGACGACACCTTAGGAATCCCAGCTGCTGGCCGTAATTCTTGGAAAGTCGATGACCCTTCGACATATTCCGTAACGAACAAAATGTTGACCGAATGGAGCTCTAGGAAAGGGAGCCGAGCCAATGTGCACGCTTTGTGTGTCATATTGAAGGAGCTTGACTTTGTTGCTGTGTCAGGTTTGTGGGTTATTTATTTAATTCGATCCGATTATACTTCGATGGAATTGGATTTAGCCTGATTTTATTTATTAAATTTAAATTTAATTTACGTTAACGGTATTTAGATAAATTGGAAGAAATAAATAAGTAAGGTGTTGTTCAAATTTCCATTTCCAGCGTATTCAGAATTCCGTATCCTCAAATGTTGAAAATGATGGGGTATTTGACCAGCGCAATGATATCTTCGTATTTATTTCAGAAAAATTGAAGCAAGAATTCCGGATTTCTTAAAATCTTCAAGCGTAACATTACTTTACATATAGCCTGGGTCTAACTAAATATGTGAATTTAATAAAATTGCATAAGTAAATTTGTAAAATCGTTTAGCTTTTTAATATCAAAATAAGTACGTGTAGTATTTTATATGTATTTTATATGCAAATACGTAGATGTTTAGTCATATGTACATATGTATGCGTATACATAAATCTCCAAGTAACTTGCTTACGTATGTTGTATATACATACTTTGATTCGAAAAATTGTAAGCTTTCAATAGCAAATATTTAGTTTGAATTGCGAAATATCTAAATTCAAGTATATGTACCTATCTATTCTGCTTATTATTCAGTATGGAATAAAAATTCAAAATTACATATAAAATACATATTTATTACTGTGTATTTATCAGTTTATAAAGATCTTGATTTAGATAATTCTTATACGTGTTTTACAAGTATTTTCGCACACAATTCAACCCTTCGTCCTTGCAGCACATCATATCAACCACACTCATACATACAGAGAACGACACAGCATGCGAAACCAACGCTGTACGAACTTCAATCAAAGATTGCAGATAATCATTTTATAATATTTTAAATTTCAACATTTTCCCATCAAGTAATCCTCAAGGTTTACGCTAAATACTTATTACCTACATACCTACATATGTAACAAGCACAATTTGGTAATTACATATGTATTTGCCACTATCACACCAAAGTAAAGCAACCGACGTATCAGGTGTATGTATTTTGCATAGAAAAAATGCACGGGATAAATATTTCCTTACAGAGCTATGCAGTGTAAGAACAAAATAATAGACAGTCTTGTATCAATATCCTAATTTTTAGTATGTATATGTCTCAGATTTAAATAAATAGATAACAATAGCTTTGATAAAATGGGATCAAGGTTACGAGCTCCAGCAGAATTTCAAACGAAGCAAGAAATCCTAATTAATTCGCATTACTACGACGTTACAAATTGGATACCTCGTCACCCAGGGGGCAAAATTATCAAATTCTACACGAAAGAAGGTGAAGATGCATCAGCAGCATTTGATCAATTTCATGGGAGATGCATCACAAAGGTGACAAAGTTCTTGAAGCAGTTACCAAAACGAGACGCAGCCATGGAAAATCGTACGTTAATGTTTTTGACAACAAATTGATATTCAATGTTTTAGATATTTAAGACAAATTATACCAGGCATACTCACGACAAGATTCATAAACTTGAAAATCTTAAACATTTTACACGTCCACAATTTCAAGATTATTAAAAACCTTGCTTTGAAAAACCCATGGAATTTTTGTTACAAAATTTTACCATTATATTTTTACTCAGCAAGATTTTTTGCTAACTATTTTGTGAATTTCGATGCGAAATAAAATGTTGTGAGTATATATACGTACACGCATACTTTTTTACTAATGAAGCACTTCACGCAGTTATTGGTTCCTTGTAAAATCCACAATTTTTTTGTAAAATACTTTTGAAAATTTGTGCAAAATAAAAAGGGTCTGATCTTAATCTGAGTTACACAAATTTGGTAGATAAGTTTCCTCAGAAATATTTGCAAGATTTTGTAAAATAAATGAATACACAAATTTATTTTTTCTCCCTAGCTACACAATTTTCCCCTGAGAACCAATCTCGCGAAGGAAACGAGGTCCTCCTTAACCAGGAATTATCCCTTCTTAAATCCACTTTTGAAGCAGAAGGTCTCTTCACTCCGTCCTACTTCCGGGTGTTCCTCCGCTTTATGGAATGCTTATTTCTTATAATTTACGGAATCTACTTGACCCATTGCACCTCCCAATTCGTAAAATGGATCGGACTATTCACCACCTCGTTTGGCATAGGGCGGTGCGGGTGGTTCGGGCATGAAGCTGGACATCGGTCACTAACCGGAAATATCAAAATAGATAAATTTCTCCACCAACTCACATTCGCGATGAGTATCGGATTATCGCCATCCTGGTGGAACAGTCAGCATAACAGACACCACGCGATGCCGCAACGTCTCAAACACGACGTCGACTTGGAAACCCTTCCACTAATCGCGTTTAACAAGAAAGTAATCAAAGATTCTAAACTGGGTGGAATTTTTAAGAATAATTTCTTTATTCGGAACCAAGCGAAATTGTTTCTCACAGTGGATACCTTTCTGGTCGTGTTTTATTGGAGATTGTAAGTATCTACTTTTGAAACGATAATATTTTCAGGAACATTTTCAAGCATATTTTTTTCAGGAACATTACCTAAAATACCATTTTGAAATTAAAAATATATATGACGGACCTAGATAGATCCTTACTGTAACAGAATGGTAGTAAATTTACATTTGTGTTTGTGTTTGAGCGTTGCACGCTTGTGAAAATGTTGACAACGAACATCTACATATGTATTCCAGGAATACATATGCTGGAAAATTTGCATACTGTTAAAATTATGTACTTTTAAAAATCTAATTTCCAGTTTTCTACATCCTCGCTATGTTATCAAGAAGCGTGCTTATGCCGACGCGGTCTTCATGTCGTTGCACCATCTCATCCTGACCTCATTTCTTGATCCGGTAAATATTTTCATCATCCACTTTCTGACCGCTATCTACCTTTTGGGGACCTTCACGCTGAACCACACCCACCTCGAAGTCACCGAGGAGGAGAAAAGTTGGGTGGAGTACGGCTTAGAGCACACCGTGGATATCACCTCCACCCCGTTAACAGATTGGTGGATGGGTTATCTCAACTTCCAGATCGAACATCATCTTTTTCCGCAGATGCCGCAGTATAATAATCACCTCATCAGAGACAGAGTGGCCGCACTGGCGAAGAAATATGACCTTCCTTATCAGACGCTTGGATTTTGGGAAGCGTGGGGTAAAGTTTTCAGAAATTTGGAAGAGGTCGGAAATCACGTAGCGAGTGGGGGCGGCTCACTAGGTATATTTTAGAATGGATAATTTTGTATGCAAAATGCGTTATGCAAAGTGACACCAGACCGATAGTTTAGGGTATCTAACTTGTATTTTTTGCGAATTAAATAAATTAGGTAATATTTATTACTGCAAACTGATGTTCAAATTTCCCCAGAATTTTTCCATGAGCGAAGGAGTAGGTAGGTTTGCATGATTGTAAATTTGCAACGCTGACAAACAAATTTTGAAAATAAATAATCAAATCTTTCCAAACGAAATTAGTTAAAAAGCCTCTAACAAGCCTACAGGATACTCAAAAAACAATTTCAACAAACCATTTAAAACTAGGTATACAATGGGGAGCAAATTAAATTGTACGGTAGAAAAACTGTTCTATCTCGCATATTGATGCAGATAAGGGCTTGAAAATTTGCAAGGTAGTACCCCAGAAAGATTGTCGTTGGATGCCATTCCTGTGTTTGAAAAATCTCAAAGAGGTCAAAGGTCACAATTTTTCGCCCATAAGCTCATTTTTCAACTCTTACAGTGATTTTTTTCCTTGGAGGCATTATTTTTTAATCGATAGCTCAACTCAATGTGCACATTTTGATATCTTGTTCAGTTCTCTGCGATTTTTTTGAAGAAAGTTATGAATTTTTGAAAAAAGTGAATTTTGAAAAGTTTAACATTGCGTTTATGGGAGAATTTGGTAAAATCCGCAAAATTCACTTTTTTCAAAAATTCATAACTTCTTCAATAAAATCGTAGAGAACTGAACAAGATATCAAAATGTTCACATTGAGTTGAGATATCGATTAAAAAATAATGCCTCCAAGGAAAAAAAATCACTGTAAGAGTTGAAAAATGAGCTTTTGGGCGAAAAATTGTGACCTTTGACCTTTTTGAGATTTTTCAAAAACAGGAACGGCATCCAACGACAATCTTTCTGGGGTACTACCTTGCAAATTTTCTAGCCCTTATCTTCATCAAAATGCGAGATAGAACAGTTTTTCTACCGTACAATTTAATTGGCTCCCCACCGTACATATGTATTATGTGCAGACGTGAATAAGGAATTTGTTAAATACTCTTATAAGTAGATACGCTATAGCTCAGTTAATTTGTAATTCAAAGATTAATGACTTTAATAAAGCAGAATAAAAATTAAATATACATATAAATGTATGTACATTTGTCTTATAAGACAAATGTGTTAAAAGAAGGATTTTCCACATCAAGACACTGGGAAAGGTTGTCTGGGTAAATAATCCATAACACAGTTAACGTGATGAAGTAGTCTACTTCAATACACACTGATATAAATACGTATGACTTGCTTGTTTCAGCAATGTCAGCGTCTCAATTTTATGTCCGATGCGGCCATGAGTGTCCAAAAACGTATAGATATTGTGTTAGGAACATTTTTCCAGTGCATTTTTCTCATTATTACTCCATAGATTGGCAACATGTATATACATACATACATATATATATTTATTTGCATTTTCTTGTTTTTTGCAATTCTCACGGTTTTTCCTATACATCAATTAGCTTTGCTTTTAATAACTAGCTCAACAACTTATCTACTTGAGGCTACCGACTCACTTGAGAACAGTATTTATTTGACTGTAAATACGTCAATACTTAAACATGACTAATTCAACAGGTATGCCTCGAGTAATGGATTGGATAATCTGTAAGTTTCCACTGATTTTTAATTTTTGTCACACGAATGTACATAGGTATGTACGTATACTTGTCAGTACTTCAGAAGACAATTTTCAAGATTTTTTAACACAGCAACAATTTATGTTGACATACATAAATGCATATATGTATATTTGTTCGTATTAAAAATAAGTAGAAATTATAGTTCTTGGGAATATATTTATATATATATTATTATCTTTATCTTATATTATTAACATTATTAAATATATTACCATTTTTGTATTCCAATTCATATAAATGTGCTTTCCGATTCTCTAAAATATCTCATTCACCCAATTCTGCAGACGAGATCAAGTTCATTTTCATGAAATCCATAATTCACCTGGTATTCGAGAAAAATTCCATTTAGATACTTAAAAATTGAGATTCAAACAGATACTCGAGAGAAATATTTATCTAAATAATCACCTCTACATATAAATATGCATACATACATGCATACACACATAAATAAACTTGAACGTATGTGTTTATTCGAATTTTATTTACAACATTTTGGAATTTGAAAAATAATTTTATATAACTAAACTTTTATGTATTTCCTCCAAAATGTAGCCTGGGTTTTCCCAAATTTTGAAACTTCTTACGTGGAATGGGACTACACCTTAAATCCGACCATGGAACCCTTCACATTCGAGCGAGACTACACAAATTTATCTTTTTCCCGAAAGTGGTGGTGGGAAAATTCGTACCTCGTCGTCCAAATTGCGGTCACATATATAATCGGGATTTTTGGCTTGGCCTGGTGGATGAAGAACCGGAAGCCATACAATCTTCGGAAAGAGTTATTTGTCTGGAATTTGTTACTGGCTGTTTTCTCAGCGGTTGGTTGGAGTCGGGTATTTTCCGAATTTTTGGATGTCATTTCCGGTCCGAATGGATTTCATAGATCAGTCTGCGTCAGGTGAAAATTGAACCATGTTATTTTATTTAAAACTTCTTAACCACTTACATTTCTCCGTTTTTTCAGGGACACGCTAAACATCTCGTCCGGATTCTGGTTGGTGGTGGCACACTGGTCTAAACTAGCAGAATTTGTGGACACCATCTTCATTGTGTTGAGAAAGAGACCACTAACATTTTTGCATGTGTATGAAATCTCTTAAAATTTAGTAACAGATTGAATAGAATTTAATCGCAAATTGTAAACAGTTATCACCATGCCGTCACGTATGTTCTTTGCGTCAGTTCTTTCGTACAGGGGGAACCCATTAACCGGTATTATGGATCTATTAACTTCCTGGTGCACACGTAAGTACCACAACAAAGTTACCAGTTTTATGGTACTCAATTTCATTATATATCTATAGATACGTAATAGATGTGTTAACATGTTTATTTTCATTCTAACAAGGGCAATGTACACTTATTTTGCACTGTCGGTGAGTTACAACTAAACTTTTATAATGAATCATTATATACGTATTGAAATGAACGCATATTAATTTTGCAGGCAATTGATTACAAACCACCGCGTCGTCTCGCAATGTGTCTTACAGCCATGCAAGTTTTTCAGTTTGCCTTTATTATGGGTGTCCATTTCTACGCAATTGGTGTAAAATGTAAGTGTCATTACTGTGAATTATTTTATGTTTGTCGTGTTATCGTATAACTTGGTCATTTTGTGTATTTCCAGTGAGTGGTCAATTATGCGCGATATCTAATGAAAGCAGTAGTGTTACACTAATGGTATCCATTTCCTACTTCGTCCTCTTCTCGCACTTCTTTTATAGAAATTATTTACGCCCTAATTTAAAATCGAATGAATTAAAGACTTAAAGGGACAACATTGATAATGCATTCCATTTTGGATCAAACTCAAAAATAAAAAAATAGAAGTTTAATGTGCAAATCCCATCTTGTGTTTAAGTTGCGTTTTATTGTAATTATGCACATATTTATATCAGTAACATAAATTCGTCTGTAAGATACCATAGATCAACAAAATCGGTGTACAGATTTTATTTGTGAATTTATTAAAGAGAAATATGCTGTAATGAATTAGTAATTCGCTATATATTTATGAAGATAATGAAGAAACCAAAATTATTCCTGAGTTTTGTCAATCATTTTTGGTTGTCTTCATATCAGCGAAACTACATAGATGTTTTTAAGCTAAAAATATGCATATAGAAGGGTTATGAATATTGCAATAATTTTTCATTAAAAATGGGTATTAATTATTGGTGCCGTTTGCAGTGTCATAAAACTGCATAAGTAGGTATGTATGTGTTCATTCTATTTGTGCGACACATTAATTACCATGATGTCGGCACCGCTCAATTTTAATTTTCTTTAGTGTATTTGATTTTGAAGCGATCGAACAGACCCATGTCTTTTGCGTGTTGGAGATTTTTTCGCAAAACGTCCCATGATTTAGGGATACATGATGGATACTCTGAGGGTAATAACCGTTCCAGTTTTTCACTCAAAAAAATGTTTTTGTTTCCACGAATCCATGACATATACACAGGAATCTCCATGTCTTCAAGACTATAAGCTTCAGCTTTATAAGTAAATGCAAACTGAATTAGTTGCATCATATCAGCGTCAAGTTTTTCATTTTGTTTCATATCTTCCACCCTTTTAACAAATTCGTCCGGGTCCAGTGCTTCCATTTTTACCCCAAATTCTCCTGCAAGTTCCTCAAAGTCCCTCTCATCACCTGAAAATTAAATTTATGGCGTGATTATAAATTTTAATGAAATTGAAGATAATCTGATGAATTATGCCTTACCCAAGTGAGGATTGAGTAGATTAAACATCTCATTCCCGGCATTCGAGTCGAAAAATACTTGAGCAGATAACTTTGAACAGAGATCGACTGGTAGTAAACTGAATGGAATATTTTGTGCCGGCATTATTCCGAGATACATGTAAGCAAAAAATCGCATCATCAGGACGCTATCGATCTGTACGTTAGCTCCAGTAGCAGAGTCTCCACCTATTTGGGGAAGTCGAAAGATTTTGCACGGAATCCCATTCTCCACGGCCTTACCCACTAATCGGTCACATATTAGCTTAGAGATGGCATAGGCCGAGTTAGGGGCAGATTCAAGAAGTCCTTCATCTACCCATTCTTCCCAAAGTCGGTCACTTGGACCTACGCGAACTTCCGTGACAATGCTAGATGAGTGGTAAACGTACTTAAGCCGCCCACTCACCGCAAACTCTAGGACATTTCTCATTCCGAATACATTTGTGACACGACTGCTTCTTGGATCATCGGTTTCTCTGTAAATCTCGTCAAAGGAAACTTTGACCGCAAGGTTGATGATTACGTGTACTTCATCTACAAGTTTCGCATGGACGAATTCATGTAACCCTAGTTTTGCCTTCCTTACATCCCCTGTTACGAATTCAATTTTTCCCATGTCGATTTCGCTGTTCAATTTCTTTTCCGACATGCATTTCAAGAATCGCTCTCGGGAGGACTGCAGTGGATTGTGCTTCAAAAGGCACACGATTTTCTTAACTGACTTTTGCTTCAACAACTCGATTAGCATATACGACCCAAGAGTTCCAGTGACACCCAGCAGTAGAACACATTCAACCTGAGAGATTGGAACAGGTGTTGATGTAAGCTGATTATCGACTTTAATAGTGATTGGTAAGTCGACATCCCGAGAAATTAATTCTTTCAATTCTTCTCTGGTAGGTGGTGGTAGTTCCTCTTTGCCAGAAATAAGCTCAACCAACCTCTCTGACAACTCAGCGACGGTTTTGCAATCCTTGACAGAATTTATTGAAATTTTCACGCGCTTGCCAAAGGAAGATTGAAGTGAGTTCTTTAATTCCACCATCAACAGCGAATCAAGTCCAAGATCTTGGAAGTTGACGTGATCACCGATTTCTTCCGTCTTGTCCATTTTGAGAGTAATTCGAAGCAGTTTTTTTATAAACTTTTTAACCACATTGATTCTTTCTTCATTATTTTGAAGTACGTCATATTCTTTCCAAAATTCATCCGAGTCGATCTCAATAAGGCTGTTAGCCTGACGTTGTTCAATCTCGGACAGAAGCCCACGTGTTGAATTTAGAACTTTCATTAAAGACCCAAGATCAGCATCGTATGCAGCAACTTGAATTTTTCGGGATCCTAGTGCATGTTCCAATGCGGCAAGGCCTTGATTTATTGTAAACGGTTTGAACGAGGGCAGTGTTAAATTTTTGGCAAGACCTACCTCGCCCCATTGCCCCCAGTTTATGCAAATTGCCGGTTGTCCTTGAGAATATCGGTAGTGTGATAAACAATCGAGGTACTGATTCGCCGCAACATAATTACTTTGGCTAATTGCTCCCAAAGTTGCTGTCATAGACGAAAATAGAACAAAGTGCTCAAGTGGGTAGTGTAGTTTGAGACTTTGTTGATGTAGGTTCCAAGCTCCGTCCACTTTTGCTTGAAATACGTTCTGATATTTTTCCCAGCTTTGTTTGTCCCATGCTCCATCATCCAGAACACCAGCTGCATGCATAATTCCCCTAATGGGAAACATTGTTGCTGCAGCATGAACAAAGAGTCTCTCTGCATCGTCTGGGTTCCCTATGTCGCATAGTTCGACAAACACGTTCACCTCCAGACCTTGTATTTCTGCAATCTTAGCTAAGGCTTCAGGCGAAGGAGAGCATCGGCCAACCAGAAGGATGTTCCTCGCCCCAGAGGATGCCATCCACTTAGCCACCTCAAGTCCTATTCCACCTAAACCTCCAGTTATAAGGTACGTAGAGCAATAATTAAATAAAGTAAAACTGTGGGTCCCCACGCCACTGTTTCCAAGCTCAGGCATTGTTAGCACAATTTTCCCGATATGTTTGACTTGCTCCATATACTCCAATGCTTCCCGAACTTCGGATGAGAAAAAACGAGTATATGGTAGTGGCTTCGGTTTAAAGTCAGTTTCTCCAAACAAGTTGGATTTTATCAATTTTAGTTGATTCTTTAACTTTTGTTCGTCAATAATGGAAACATCAACAACTCTGTAGTGTACATCTGGCCGCAAGTGCTTAACTTCATCTTTGCTCCAAATATTCATTTTACTCATTTCAATGAATCTGGCGCCACTATCACATAGCGCGAGTGTCGCTTCCTTGTATCCGGGTCCAGTTAGTGAGTTAAGTACAATTGTGACCCCGCGCCCAAGGGAATTTCTGATATCTTTTCCATAATCTGTATTTCGGGAGTTGAAAATATATTTCAACCCAAGGCTTCTTAAATAGTTACGTTTTCGATCGTTCCCCGCTGTAGCAACAATTGTACATCCTATGTATTGTGCCATTTGAATGGCCATTAATCCTACGCCACCGGAGGCAGTGTGAATTAGAACCACGTCTTCCATTTTAGGTATCGCTGCATCTAGTAAACAATTAGTTGCAGTTAATGCAGCCATTGGAAAGGTCGCAGCGTCAGCCATCGTCATTTCATCTGGGATTGGAATTATTAGATCTTCGGTTGTCACTAGATGGCTTGGCATTGCACATCCCGTTTTTCGGGCCATAGCAATTCGGTCCCCAATCTTTCTTTCGCAGGATGCTCCAACTTTGGTGACAATTCCAGCAATGTCAACACCCAAGTAATTGAATTTGTCAAATACTGGGTCTGGCTTGGTAACCATGAATATATCCAGGAAATTTAAAGCATATGCTTTCACCTCGATCTCGACTTCGTTTGGGCCAAATTGCTCAACCTTTGCCGGAGTAAAATAAAGATCAGAAATTACACGGGATTCTGGTAGAACAAGTTGAAATCTGTCAGAAGATGGGATGCTTAAACAATTTGTTTTGATCTTGTAAGGACGTAATCTTGGAGTAAAGCGTTTTCGATTCCTATATACAACCACTACATCGACATCGTTCATGCTCATCTCAGCAACTAACTCTATAGAACTTGTGGAAGCATCAACGTCGATGCACTTGCACTGAATATCTGGATTCTCATTCGTTAAAACGTTGGTCATTCCTATTAAAGGAGAGGATATTGGATTGACCTGAGAAAAATCTGTTGCTCCAGTCGACAAATTTCCTTTCGTAACCGTCAGTAATTTTAGAGGACTTTGAAGTTTTGCTAAGCGTTTGCACACACTTAGGTAGGGCTTACAGACGTCCTCGGTTGTGGCATGATCACGAAGTCCCCATAAGTAGATTACGCCAACCCATTTGGAATCATCACCAGCAGATGCAGATCCCAATATGGTTTCAATGTCGTCTCGGTTGTCCCAGGTCACCACTTGAACCTTAAAGTCCATTCCGTGTAACTTATCAATCACCTCATGGGATATTTGACATTCATCTGAGAATACAATCCAGTAATCCGACCGAGGACATGGAGGCATGCAGTCTTTTAAAGAATCTGAATTCAATTTTCCAATGAGTAAAGCGTTAGCACCGACATAGCTTTTAAGCGAAACGATATCTTCAAAGCCACATGTTTCAAGAACCTTGGTCCAATTGCTTATCGAGAGCTCACAATTCCAGGGTCGCAAAGCAACGTCGGCGAATTTCCAGAACCCACTTAGCCCCCCAAACGTTAGGTTTACTTCTCTATTTGGGTTTACCAGCTCGGTTATAAGTACAGTTCCTCCAGGTTTTAACAATTTTCGCACATTTATCAAGGCTTCTTGAATATCACGGGTTGCATGAATTACGAAGAAAGCAACAATAATGTCGTAATGTCCAGAAATTAGACCCTGGTGAAATGGATCCTCCTCCAAGTTAAAAACTCCAAATTTTGCCGGGATTCCAGTTTCTGCAAACAGCTTTTCACCTTTCTCCAAAAACCCGGGTGAAATATCCGTATAGGTATATTCAAAATGTGATGGACCAATTGTAACCATGTTGTCAATTAGATAGGAGGTAGAAGACCCAACTCCAGCACCACACTCTAAAACCCTCACCACGGCTTTGCTTCCAGCGCTAGCATATCGAGAAAGAATGCTATACTCAACATGGTTTAGGGCGGCTCTCTTTTTAAACATGAGGGATTCTTTGTAGAATAGTTCAGCTGGCCCAGGCATTTCGTGTCCTGGGTACAATAATGGTAACGCCTCAAGCTTTCCGGTGAGTATTTGTGATAAATTTTCCCAAACAGTGTCAACCCAAGGCAATGGTAATGTAGTCATGCCGCTACGAAGAATTTGAATATCTTTCAAAATTTGATGCAAAGTTGGTAGAATTTTTTTTCTGATAAATCGATTATCCTCAATCTGTATCAACCATCCATCCTTCACTAGTTCAACGAACATATATCGAAGGAACTTACGCAAATGTGGGGTTACCCCACATTTTTCACCGACATCTGATAATTCCCACACATTTGCTTCCAATCTTAATTCCACTATTGCCTTTTGAATATACAACCCTGCTAGCTTATTAATATCCGAATGAAATTGAGCTTCATCTTCCGTTAAATTGTCATATGGTTGTGACATGTTTTCATACTCCCGGAAACCGGGGATTTCTTGATTTTCTATTCGTCTTTCGTCTGGGCCAAGCCACTCCTTCCAACCAACTTCTGCCAAAGTTGGGTAAGGGTTACGATGAGAATCTATAAGCGCAAGGATATTTGGGAGAGTAGTCTCCACGTATTCAGTTCCAATCATGGAGACCATAAGTTTTCCCTTTTCATTATATAAATGGGACTCGAATAGTGCGGAAGCTGAGGAATTTCTTATGTAGACGTATCCAGAACCTTCGTAGACATTACTTGGCCCCCACCATATATAACTTTCAATTTGTATAGGCACTGCCAGTCGTTTGTGATGATTTTGATTCAAGTGGCCAAGAGCAACAAGTTGGGTTTGTAACATTGGATCAACTGCCCATGGGTGAATGATGAATCTGTCCAAATCATCAGTTGTTTCAAAGGTCCTAAACTTAAAGATGAACTCGTCGTTGGAATTATTTTTCCAACCATCCTGAACTACTCTCAGTGATGGTCCAAAGTTAAACCCATACTCCAGAAGTTCATCGTAATCGTATTTATTATTTTCAGATACCGCGTTTCCGCATCTAGCTCGAATGGTTGTAAAGTCGTGCAAGGCAGGATCAGGGGAAAATGGAATGGCCGTTGCAAGATTTGCGGAAGCATTTCGAATCCATTTACATTTTTTATCTTCCAAAATCAATTTTGTGTAGATGGTCATCTGCCGTTGTCCATCGGCAGATGTATCTACGGTTACCTGTCGATAAACGAGAATTTTTAGGATTACCCATTCTACCAATTTGACTACATACATTAATAACATGAGAAGCAAAGTTACATAATACTTGGCTAAATAATCTTACTTGAAACTCGGTAGGACACATCTCGCTTAAGCAGACTGGGGTATGGATAGCAAAATTTTGGAGACACAAAGGAGTTAAGGGTTTCGTAAATACCCCATTTTTACACTCCGCTGCACAGTATCCAGCTGTTATACACATATCCAGATATCCTGCACATGGAAACAGGATTTTATCTCCTACCCCGTGGTCTTTTAGAAATGGAATACGATTGACATTGAGACTGTTTCTGAAGATGGTTACTGCACTAGGATTATGAACAAATCCACCAAGCAGCGGGTGAAAAGGAAGAGAACCATCATCATTAATTGCAATCCAGTGGCTGGTATCTTCAAAATGGTAGCCAGGAATTTCAATCTTGACCCGATTAGAATAGCGGTGAAAATTTTTCCAATTAATTGGGATGCCATGTGTGTATAACCTCCCCAAAGACGATAACATAGTCTCCCAATCATCAGCTTTACGACGTAGCGAAGGGACTGCTGAGATTTCGGTGGATACCTGAAATATTTTTTACTAAGGTTATAAAGCCCTTGAACTGTGCGGTAAGCGAGAAAATGATTACCTCATCTAGATTAGTTAGAATCAATGCCGAGAGAACTGGATGAGGGCCAATTTCTAGGAACATGGCCAGTCCTTCTTTTTCAGCTGCTTTGCTGGCGTCCAGAAAACAAACCTTTTCTCGTGTATGTCGCCACCAGTAGTTCTTGTCGACTTCGGACAGAACTCGTCCCTCCACGCCGGATATGAATTTATACTTCTTTGCCGTTGAGAATTTGGTATTTGATAATAGTTCACAGTACTCTTGACATATTGGGTCCATAAATTTCGAGTGAAATCCATGAGAGGCGTCAAGAGCGTGCGTCTTAATACCATTGTTGTCACAAAATATCTTAAATTCGTAAATGCTGTGGCTTGCTCCTGATACGACGGTTTGGTTAGGAGAATTAACGGCAGCAATTTCCAACCAATTTTTTGTGTTGGCAAATGCTCTATTCATTTCTGTTAAAACAGTATCCATGTTGCACCCAACAACCAGCATTCCAGAGCTTGGCAGGGCTTCAATGAGCTTGGATCTGGTTACAACCATCTTGAGCGCATCCATTGGGTTCAATATTTCAGCTGCAACAGCGGCCACAAACTCACCCAGGCTGTGACCCATGACAGCCTCTGGAGTGATACCCCAGGATTCCCACAATCGAAGGAGGCAAAATTCTACGCAAAATATTGAAATTTGGCCGTACATGGTTGTGTTGAGAAGATCAGCATAATCATCGTCCCAGAGTGCCTTCCTAATTTGCACTCCATACTCCAAGCTCAAAATGGAATCACACCAATCAAAAGTCGACGCAAAGACAGCGCTTTGGTTGTAGAGTGATTTTGCCATACCAGCATACTGTGAGCCTTGACCTGTGAATAGGAAACAGAGTCTAGGTGGTGTGTTGGAGATATTCTGACCTTTTTGGATTGATTCTATGGACGACAAAAGTTCATCATTTGTTGATCCTACAATCACTTGTCGTAGAGCGAAATGTGGACGTCCAGTGTGCAATGTGTACTCCAAGTTAGACAAGGAAACATTGTTCGATGGATCAAGAAAATCTTTGTACGCTGCTACTTGTGCATTCAAAGCCGATTCTGTTTTTGCGGAAAACGTTACAATTTTATACTCCCGTGAGTCAGTTTGGGTGAAAATCCTTTCTGGAGCCAAAAGTGGAGGTTCTTCAAGAATCAAATGAGCTTGAGCTCCTGTAATCCCAAATGAGTTTATTCCAGCAACTCGTGGTCTCCCGTTTGTTTTCTTTTCCCATGGAATTGGTTCGAGAGGCAATTGTGCTGGAATGGCACCCAAGTCGATTTCTGGGCTTATTTGAGTAAAATTCAAATGTTTTGGGATGAGATTGTGCTGCATCGCGAGAACAGTTTTATGTATCCCAGTAATTCCGCAAACAGATTCGGTATGCCCCACATTTGTTTTCACAGATCCAATTATTAGTGGGTTTCGGGAAGGGGATGAGTAAGCCTTAGCGATAGCAGCAACTTCAATTGGATCTCCTATTAAAATTTAAATTTTGCATGAAATCAATGTATGAATAAGTGATTGTAAAGACCGACGCCACATCAATCTTGAATAAATACCAACCAACCTGCTTTTTTATTTGTTATAAAATCTCGCTGTGGAGAGGTTTCCCTCTGGTCAACGCAGTTCGCACTCACTTCCATTGAAAAAGTTACGGCGCAGCTTTTAGTCAAAAGTTTTTTAACGGAGCAAGTGCAAACTGAGTGGATAAGGTGGAAAGCTCCCTACAGCGAGACTTTATAAGAAATAAAAATAGAGTGCCTACCCACCTATTGGAGTTCCGGTCCCATGTGTCTCAACGAAATCGACATCGTCAGGGTGTATGCCTGCCCGGTCAAGCGCTAACTGGTTTAAACAAATAAGAAGACATGTTAGTGAAACGATAAGCACGAATGTAAATGTGCGTCATTGCTGGCAACGTCGTCATATACACATACATATTCGAATATATAAATATATGCTACATTTTGATAAATATGTAAATAATTCATGATTATATTCTAACCTGCATGGCTTTAGCTTCGACATTTACCGTGGGGGTACCCATACTCCTGCTTGTTCCCTCCTGTACCACAGCGGAACTCCGAATTACGCCCCAAATTTTATCTCCATCCGACACCGCGCTGGATAATCTCTTCAGAATTAGGACGCCAACGCCTTCTGCCCTTCCAAACCCGTCGGCACCAGCATCAAATGTCTTGCATCTCCCATTTGGTGCAAGTAAACCCTCCAACAGTCCTGGCGTAAATGGGTGGAGGAGTAAGTTAACTCCCACGGCTATTGCCACATCGCAGGCTTCATTTCGTAAATTGTCACAAGCCATATCTACCCCTGCAATCGAGGTAGAACACCCACTCTCCGTGGAGAAACTAGGTCCAATCAATTCAAAAAAGTGGGAAATTCTAGCAGTAAGTGGCCCAAGTGCATTTCCCATGTAACAACGAAGAAAGTCAGTATCATTGACTCCGACTTCTTGTATTATATCTCGATAATCGTTCCGCCACCTTTTTTGAAACGGCTGATATATATGACCATATGTGAGCTATAATTTCTTGTATTTTAATTTCTGCACATACCATCCTCCAAATACTCCAGTTAATGAATTTTTTAAAGAATTTGGATCGATTCCAGCGTCCTCTAAAGCTTCCCAAACAACTCGTAGGGATAGCCTTTGTTGTGGGTCTAATAAAGCCATATCTGCCGAATTTGTGTTAAAAAATTTGGCATCGAAAACGTCAATGGGGCACGAGAGGAAGCCAGCTTCTGTATTTCTCACGTTCTCAATGAGAATAATGGAATTTTCCTTGGTCCATCTTCCTTCTGGAACCTTGCAGATTCCTTCCAAACCCTGTTCCAATAAATTCCAAAACTCTTTAATTGAGTTCGCCCCAGGGTAACGACACGCCATTCCAACAATAGCAATCGGACAGGTGGGATCCTGTCGCGTAAATGTTGGTCTAAGGATTTGAGATATTTTTTCCTGTGGAAAATACATAAGCGATTTCATTAGTTTTTTGTCTATTTAGCAATTTGTGCTCGGTTACTGACATTTCCTTCTTCAGTAGAAATAATAGAGTTCCAAAAGTTTTTTAAATCTTGAGTTAGGACACATTTGTTTACAGTTCCCATTTCGTCAAGTTCTTCATTGGGATGACCGTTCAAAAAACAAATCATTTTAATTTCATTTCCGGGAAGCTGAGCTGGGTTTGGGCTGTGGTGAATTGTAGCAAGATAAATTATTAATTCATTTACAATTAATTTATATGTAGATTTTTTGAAGAACAATATACCCACCTTTGCATATCCAGTTCAAAACAATACTCAATCTCCTCCAGCACCGGCGACATCGATTTCTCAGGGTGACCTCCTTTTGCCACAAAAATAATACGAAGTAAAGTTAATTTCCCAAAAACTTATAATAAGAAGATAAGTACGTACTGCGTAATAAATACGTATCTACTTCATATTTTGTTACAAAAGTTGTTCATATTTTGAATTAAACTTTTACCTTGTAGATTTTCTCGCTCAACCACCTTGCGCGTAATTTTTTCCATATCAACTCCTCGCATCGATGTAGAATTCACAAGAATTCCAGCAAATTCTTCCCCAGTTCCGTTCAAGCCGCACCATTGAACGCCACTTAGCCGAAACAAATCATCGCAATTTTTTACAGGTAGGCAATTGCAATCCAGAAATACGTGTCGTCGTTGACCTCTACCCCCAATCAATTCATACATCTTGAGTTTAGCCAAGGATCGGAATTTCAAATTCTCGGTAGATCTTAAAACGTAAACTTTGTCCACCTCGTTTTGTAGAGAAAAACTAGAACATGCACGTGTACATTTATAGATAAGAACATATAATACAATTCGACATGACATTAATTTTTCAGTTAAATCAACATTAATCTCACCTCATCTCTCGCCCAACTTGGACACTAGTGATGACCATTAATGGTCTAGTGGTCAGCGTCCTTTTCAACGATCTCGCCAAGCCGATACATTTCAACGCTTCTTTGTCATTAGAAGCGTAACTCACCCACCACTCGATACCATTGTAGCCTCCCATCTCTGTGAAAAACAATTCTGAAAATGATGCTTTCAAAATTGCAAAGTTTTCAAACGTGCTGCTGTAAGTTGAAGGAAAGTAAAGCTCTGTGTATTGAAATGCAGACTTTCAGACTGTAGCGAATAATTACAAACTCAGGGTTTATATCACTTCTGAGGATGAAAATACGTTGTTTGTAGTGTAGCATTCTGTAAAAGGTTTAGGTAGCAATTAAAACAAGAAATATATAAGTATGTAAATATGGAATTAGGATGGAAGTTTTAGTAATACATAAATAATAATAGTAAAATATGATACAATGTATGCGACTTAATTTTGAGCATTAATGCTTCTTATCAGTTTTAAGAGATTGGCATAACATGCACATGTTTTCCTGAAATGATACGCGGCATGCACTAGAACACACGTAAGGTGAAACACTCCGTCTTGGTCCTTTGTAGGCAAAATTGTAAAGCAAGTATGTATTTGTACTGTGGAAGAAGAACAATTTGGAAGTACTTAAAATTGGTCAAGCATACTTTATGAGAGGGGAAAATACGTCCTGTTTATGATCAATTGTCCAGTTTGCACGCTTGCTGATTATGTACATATCCATATACATATATGTAAATATATACATTGCCCAATTAATATCCTGTATAAATTTGCTACACAAATCCAGATTTTATTAATGCTCTGATGAATTATTAATTTTATCTTGGGTAGTGGAAAAGTTGTTGCAAGGTTACAAAAAAAATAAGCTGTAGTATTTAATATTACTACTTCAAATAAAACAATTTGTATACTCCACATCCTGTGCGGGTTATGGTACTTATCTGCTTAAAGACCATGGAATTTTTGTTTATCATATTTATACGTTTCTGGCATATTTTTGTTAAATATCTATGTACATACCTATATCGTTGTTTCTTAACTGATGCAATGCACAAAGATGCCCACAAAAACATGAACATCTTAAGGCATATATATTCTTAAATATGTACATGCATATAAATACATAATTATACGTTGTTGGAAAATATCGCACTAATCCTGAGACACATAGCGTCCAAAGAGTCAGGCGAATTGAACGTGTCGACACGAAATAGCTTAATAGTATTAAGCTTTCCTGAAATCCATATTACATCCGGTATGGACAGCGGCTAATTTTAAATCAATTTCCTGAGAATCTTTTCGACAGTCTTGTCATTTTTATCCAGTAGCCTGCTTAGCAACATAATAATATTGTTTTTTCTACGAAGCATTTATTTACTTAGGATTGTATGTATTCCGTGCACGTGTCCACTGCATGGTCATTTTGAATAACAAAGTTATCGCTGGCATGTTGAATGTCAAATTTTATGATAGGGTTGTAAGTTTTAGTTGTACAAAGTGGATATTAACCTTGAGATTGATATGAATTCTGAAATTCCACATTTCCGTCAGAATGGAAGGAATACCCAACTTAAATCGTAAAATTAATGTTAAGTTGTGGCTTATGTTATCAGCAACTTTTTGTCTGATTGTCGGTCTGCAGGTAAATAAATATATGATAAAATCTATTCACACTTTCATGACTCGGGCAAAATACATACGTATTTATGTATACCACGTTTGCACAGGTTTTACGTACGACCATCTAAAAAGTATGCACTTATCTCGATTCTTTGTCTGTGCATGCATGTGTTTTTGAGAAGACTCGCCATAAAGTGAGTACTAAAACTATTGCGTGCCCACATACCACGTGAAAATAAATCGACACAATTATTGCTTTGTTTTAAACATGCATGTTTGCACAGGATTCAAGTTTACAGATTAAGTTCCACGATAGGGTCCATTTTCAATTTGAGTAACTTTTATTGAAATTTAACAAACATTCGTGGGAGGGATTCATTACGAATTCAAGTGTTCTCATCGCAACACAATTTTGACAAAAAAGTTTGCGAACTATGCAAATAAATATAAGCCTTTGACTCATTTGAGCAATCGAGTCTCAATTTTCTCAAGGTCAAGTCCATTCAGAGAGTTGGTTAACGATTATTGCTAAAATCAAGAAGATAATTACAAACTGTTAATTACACGAAATAATATTTTGTATCTATTATGTATCAGTACTTTATTCAATCTTAATCTGCATGTAATGCAAAAACATTAATGTGCATTGATTTACAGAGAACAAAACTATTTTTTGAGCAGTAAATATAACAATGCAATACTGCATTACGCGATTTTATCGATATAAATTTCATGAATATTGTGGTTAAACTTTGTATCACATTTTGTTCAAATTTTATATAGTTTGACATTTAACTCACTTGAACAGTTTTCATCATGCTTACTTCGAGTTGAATATTTTCACCGTATCGGTAGGCCTATTGCCGGGAGTAGGGGTGTGTGGGGGTGGCAGCACATACGTAACCTTCACAATAGATTCTAAATAATCAACATTGATCTTCACTTTATGTGAATACACGTCGTAAAGCTTCTTTCACTTTCAACAAGCTTATTTTTACTCCTAAATATAAGGAAGTGATCAAGAAAGTGTACATAGTACCAAGCATGCCAAATGCTATGTACAAATGTTGTGTATGTCTGTTCGAAAAAATATTAAAGTAGCAGTTATTTTAGAAAGTCGGACTATTTTTTATTAAAATGTCCATGCAATTGGCTATCAGAAGCCATGAAAAATCGACAAAATAGAAACCTGCTTTTATAAAAATATTTGTGTACATACCAAAATACATACGCCAAGTCAGAAAACTCGCAGGCTGGTGTTTTATAATCTTCTCACGCAAAATACCTTAAGGTAGACCACATACAGCTAAATACCTCTTAATAGAGCATGACGTAGATACATAAATTCAATTAAAAATTCATTCCACTCCACCAAACTTAATTAGAAAGAGATTAATCTTAATTTTACGACAGGGATTTTAATACCGTCCGAAGTTTAATTTCCAATTCCAGTCCAGCCTAGGAAACATGTGTGTCAAATACATATGTAAGTAAAAGAAATCGGAGAAAGTGAACTTTCTCTCCCTCTTTGAATCCAGTGCTTGGTTAACACTTGCACTTTCACCGGATATCCTGCACTCTACTTTGGCGTGTGAAGCAAAGCGAAGTGATTTGACTGCTTGTCTCCCGTGTCAGCTCAGCTCAGTAGCTTTCCTTCGATTAAGTCCACCTGCTCTCACTCAGAAAACTGTAAAGCTTAGATTATTCACACATTTCCAATAATTCTTTCCCCATTGGGGTTCTTTTCCTCAGAAACTGCTGACATGAGAGAAATAGAATGTATGGTATGTAAGACAAGGACATGAATTGTGGTGATAAGTCGACAACTTAAGTATTTGGTTACTCCAAATCTTATGATTCCGCAGAGCCTCTCAGAGGACCATTAAACACATGTGACAAAGACCTCGTAAAGGAGGGGGTGGGAGTTAAGGAGAGATCAATGATTGACCATGACCTGCCGATTTGCGCATAAGTATTTAGATTTTTCAGTCTTCTAGTCACACTTTAATGGACCACATACATACTTTGTACAGTCCTAATTTACACATTGCTAGAAATCTCGTAAAGTCAAGCAAATATTGATTTATCGGTATTAAAGTTGCTACCGCTTCGTAATAAAATTATACGGGTCCCTAAAAATTTGTCGATATATTTAGTACAAATTTAACAACGAGCTATTATCTGCTACATGGTATTGCTTATATACGTGCATATCAATACCACTGTGTAGAGTAATATATTTATGAATATCGCTTGGTATTATTTTAACACTGGATTGCTTTGAGTGTAACCAGTGACGTTTGAATAAGAGGACTAATTTGTGACATGACCTTAAACACTGAAAATTTGTAATTAAATTGATCACAAATATTCCCATAATCTATTTATCACACGACTCAAAATGGGAGGAGTAAATGCATATTTAAGGGAACATCTAATTCATCACACTTGAACCCTCTTTTCATTACTACATAGTCCAACGATAATATTCTATAGCTTACTTATTTTAAGGTTCAGCAAAGTCAACCTCACTTCCTCATTTGCGACTCTTTCAAGAAGATTTCTCCACTTTCCCTCTCCCGTCCTTGCGTCCCAACCAGTAAAATATATAGAGTTCAAGGATACGTAGCTAGACAGTCGCCATGGCGTGTGCAGGGCGGTTGGGAGGAATACGAATGACATCACATCACCGTCCTTAGATGTCCAAGGTTCACTCCCTGAAGAGCGATCGTTCCATTACTTATTCATTTTGAACAGTTTATTTTTATCCTGGCTGGAAAAAGGCGGAAGGAGAAAGTATTTATAAGAAGGGGAGAAGCATGATACTGGTAAAATGATGGATTCGGGAAAAAAGAGGGTTTCACTTGATGAAAGAACTCTACATAAATATTTATTTACCAAAAAGATTAGTTGGTAAGTGAAAGTTCCATTTTGCTTTTAGTTTGACAAGTTATGATTTAGTTTTTTTGTTTTGATTTTCCTGAGTGGATTGAAGAGTCGTGTCGTTTGTCGATCAATCAAGCATAAAATATATCATAGAAATATATACAGACGAACTTGCTTGTCATCCATACAACATCTGACAAGACTATGATTTTACGTCAAAAAATGGTTTGCCGTCCTTGCACAAGTTGTTAAACCATAAATTCATAAAATTTTCCATAAATTCCTAAAATTTTCCATAAATTCATAGACGAATTTTCAAACTTGTCGACCAGTCGGACGTGCTTACAATTCAAGTCCTTCGCATGCATAACTCGATTTCGATGGGACACATTTGTCTTTACTCTACAAAATGTCTCATCAGTTACAGTTACACATACACTATTTTAGTCAGTAGGTCGAACCAGAGGTTAAAGAATATTGCCCGAATTTTGAAAAATAAATAAATCAAATCATTCCAAAGTGAAAGTGAAGATCGCACTTTTTCATTCTTGAATTTCTCTTCCACTGTGTCGCTCAACTTTGACCCGAAATTCCCAAAGCCTCTCTTCTCAGGAGGGGAGGTTGTGTACTATCAACTCCCGGATCTCGATGCCCTTTGGATATTTTGTAGTGTCCGATGAATGAACAAGAACCCTGAAGTGGTTTGATTCCATGGCCACATTTGCGCCCGCCACACCCACTCAAAGGTGCCCAAAAATCGCTTTCACTCCAGCTTTCACTCATTCAAATCCACGCCAAAAATCCAATTTTACTCGGATTTTCAAATTTCTTTCACCATTATACTCCTGGATAGTTGCTTTCTTATTTCCAACATCCAACT